ATCTTGATTATAAAGAAATTCAACTTGTACGTCGCAACAAGAGAGTTCTGTCAGTTGGATTCCTCTGAGATTAATGTAGATAAAAACTTTTTAACTCATTTTTTTGTTGCTCAGACCTTGTCACATGTCATGATGTGTCCCTGACTAGTTAGTGGGTGGCAATAATTAGCTGTGAATTCACAAGGGACCAGAGTTAGTAATTACAATGCTGTTCTTGTTCATAAAGCAAATAAAGGAATGACCACTTACATGTATTTAATGGTCTTTACAACTATGTTCAGCTAAGTAACTACATAGAATTCAACAAAATTTACACAAACATAAAACTGATTGCAGTTTGTTAACTAAACGGCAAGTAAGCAGTTTTATAGGCCGATCTATATCTATATATGTGTTTTTGTAACATTCGTTAGATAGCCAAGTTTGCCTTCCTCAAAACCAGAACCTGACAAATTATTTAGTGAAGAAAACTGTAGAATTTGGCTATAGGCTTCTTTCATACTCCCTACATCACACATTATAGGTAAAGCTAAACACTCCATACCCATATCTGATATATAGTTGATCTCTCTTTTCTGCAGCCGTGCAGTTCGGTTTCTGTTTGAGGTGTTGAGCAGTTTCGATGCCGAGCAGCAGAGACTCTTCCTGCAGTTTGTTACAGGAAGCCCCAGACTGCCTGTCGGAGGTGAGTCTCCTCATTATCACTGGTTTTAAGGAGCTCACAGATAATGTATAAATTGTGAAGGCATGTTGTGCAGTAAGCAAGCTGCTCACTCACCTTGGTGTCGCTCTGGTCTCTTAGGTTTCCGGAGCCTGAATCCCCCTCTGACAATCGTAAGGAAGACCTTCGAGTCGACAGAGAACCCAGACGACTTCCTCCCCTCAGTCATGACCTGCGTCAACTACCTGAAGCTGCCTGACTACTCCAGCATAGAGATCATGCGAGAGAAACTGTTGATTGCAGCGCGCGAGGGCCAGCAGTCTTTCCACCTTTCCTGATCTCTCCACATGTCACATTCAAATGCCTTCTACAGCGACTGATGAAATCATTACTTCCTTCTTAGTTTTTTTTGTAATCACATACATCGAGGCTACGTGTACAGCCTTCTTGTTAGAGAAAGCAGCTTGCAGAAAACTTAAGACTTTAAATATATATTTGCTGCCCCTGTCTCTCAAAAAAATATAAAAAATACAAAAATGGAAATGTGTTCCATGACTCACAGAACTTAAAATATAAAAAAAGAGAGCAAAACTTATATCAGTAGTTGAGTAATGTTAAAAAAGATGAAAACATCTGGGTGACATTTTAAATTGCATTGCTATGTGATATTTAAAAAAAAAAAAAAAAGGGATGTCTCCTCTCCAGAGTGGTGGACAATGTCACTGGGTGTCGGGGGCGAAGGGGAGGGGTTTGGGTGGGTGGGGGTCCATCGAGCAAGCTAGGTTTACTTTAGCTCCAAAGATCATTTGTACAGACAAATTTGCAGACTTTGCTCATTCTACACATTTGATAGAATAGCTCTTTGTTCTCATGTCTCTTCCCCCCCCTCAGTTCGTCCGTTGGCATTTTGTTCTGTATTATATTGGCCCCAGTTTGTGTGTTGCGTTTTCGGTTCGGCTTCTCCCCCCTCCCTGTGTCTTTGCTTCAAGTTGTGAAAACGAGAGTTGCAGTTGTTTGAATGCGGGTAGTGATGAGCGCATATTATCTTTTTTTTTTGTTTGTTTTTCTTTCCCCCCTTTACGCAAGTTGAGATTGTCTTCTGGCCCTCCTTTATATTATAGAGAGCTTCAGTTCAGATGAAGAGTTGTAACCAATGTGTTCAGGTAAAATTTGTTTTTGCTCTTCTTTTGATAGGGTTTAGTGTCTTTCTGTTGGGCCCTACCAGATGTGTAGGGTTTTCTTGGTAGACCAAGCTCCGAGCAACCCTCAACACATAATGTAGCCGGGCACAAAAATTTTGGCTGGTCTCATTTTATCGTTTAATGGCCAGATAGCATTTCAAGCTCATTTATGAAATAAAGTTTATATGCAGTTTCACACCCTGTTTGAGGTGGGAATGTCTGCTTTACTCTTTTTTTTTTTTAATTTTCTATATTGTCTTTATTTCTTGCTGTAGTTGATCATTTTTTTTCTTTGCACTGCTGGCTTGGAACAAACCGTGGTGTGCACCTGCAGTCTGGCCAGGGGAGGGCGCCACTGTATGCTCTCTTGGCCCAATCGTTCATGTGCTGGTTTCTAAGATCTGCAATAATTTACTGCATCAGGTTCATGTTTTTACCTGAACATAAATAAAGTAATTGTTTGACTCATCTTTGTTCATCCTTACTTTTATCTATTTAATTCTTACTTTCCTCCCCCATGGCACTCCATTGTGGACAGGTTAAACTGAGTTGCCATGGTGAAGTTGACAAAGGTGGATTATTTGACTCACCTGGAATGTTGCTTTTTCGATCTCAGCACGATTTAAAAACGCTATTGTCTCTTAGATGGATCTTTACCCACCACTGTGTCCACCAGCTCTTAGAAACCCGAGCTAAAAGCTTAACAGTGGTCCAAGACGTGTGTAGGTGATGAAACTAAACCGTGGTTCAAATGAATTTTCCAACACTAAACCTTCTGTGATGACCTCTGACAAACTAAGACATTCTAGTCTTTCTTTACCCTAAACAACAGAAAACATTCTCAGAGTGAAGGAGAGACACTTGTGCTTTTTCACAACCAAGAAACAGGCGCCATGACTTTGCTGTCTACTGCAGTGCCCTGTGTTCAGCGAGCTGAGCGACGGACGGTGACAGATTTACTGCACCGTGGGAAGATTCATTATGGAAATGGAACAGTTGATGCCAGAGTGCAAGGCTGACATGTCATTATCATCCACAAGGTTTCATATTGATCATACCAAGCATGCAACTACAACAACAGCCCCTTATGCCAAAATAAATTGAGGTTGTGAATCTCACACATCAGCCCTTGAGACTTTTATCGAGGGAGACAAAGAGGACAATGAAACTTCTGCTCTTTTGAAAATTAGTTCAGGTCATATGGGTTCATTTCAAGTCAGAATATGTGATAAGAAAATTATGGATATTCATACCATTCAAAAGGAAAATATGACGATTAGTCTCTAGCATGCGTTGATCGCCAAAAAATGCCGGAACCTACACTTTCCATAATGAAACTAAAAAACATCTATCTTGTAAATTCCCATCATCTCAGGTTGTGTCAGACTCCTTCCACCTGTACACAGGCATCGGACTGTTCAGTCTCCTGGACAAACCACTGATCTGTAATTGGTTATTAAGTAAAATTAAATAATAAAAAAAACTGTCAGCACCCACCGCAGGATTTTGAACACAAAAGCATTGCATAAGATTGGGGACTTTGTGTAATCAAGGGAAAACATCCTCCCCCACAGATGTTTCTGAAAATAAAAAAGAAGCTTAAAACTGGGGCTTGTTTGCCTCTATTCTGATTAACAACCCAAAACATTTGCTTTCCTTTATTAATCCTTTGATTCATGCTAATAAAAAGTATGCAAATTCCTGCAGGACTTGACGGTCAAAATAAAAATGCACATTCCTTTTTTACAATTTTCACATAAAATAATTTGCTCTGGTCACATAACATTACACTGCAAACGTGAATGATCTCTCACCTTTGTGACTGCAACATCTATGAACGTCATGAATGATTTTAATCGGGTTCATCTTAAAGACAAAAGTTCTTCTACTGCCTTAAAAACAAGAGTTCACTGAATTTAGATTGTATCTTTAGTTCAAACTCACCTTATGAGATTAGAAAAAACCCCATCTCAGTTAAGTTCACTTCAAAACAGTGTGGGATTTAGTGCCATCTAATGGTGCGCTTGCTAATTGCACCCAACTAAATGCTAGTCTCACCATTGTATTCCCCAGAATGTAGAAGAACCTTCAGTGACCTTCTGGGAACGTAGAAATACAAAAGAGCCTCTCTAGTCTGGTGCTAGTGTTTGTCCCTTCTGAGCTACTGCAGAAACATGGAGGTAAACATGAAGGACTCTGGGCAACCTGCTCTCATTGTGATGACAAAGTAGAGAAGACCACACGTTACTTTGATAAGAATAACTTTATTTCAAGAACTGACACAAACCAAACACTGGAAGCACCAGCTTATATACTGCAGCCAGGTGACGTGAATCTACCTGGCGACCAGACTCCTCCCATTAGGCTCCTGCAGGAAGAGGCCTGCTCACAGAGGGTCGACACAATATGGGAACAAAAACACAACAAACTGATCTGAGTTTCAGGTGATTATCATCATGCATTCTAGTTTTCATCACTGCCAATAGATCCCCTTAAATCCTACACACTGGATGTCAGGCTGCAGGTGGATCAGGGGTCAGGTCTAGGACTCTACTCTACTGAGTGCGATTAACGATTTTACTTTGTAGATTTAGCTAAAAGGGCTTCTTCACTTTTAGTACTTGTCATTTCAAATGCAGCACTTAAGACTTATGTATTAGTACTTTCACCAAAGTAATGGATACTTCACTACTCAGACTCCATCAGCATGATTCTGCTGTTTTTCACACTCCTTGTGGTAACATTGTTACTGCAGACCTGCTATCACTGGTTAGCAGCTGTAATCTTATGGCAAAGCTCATGAGGATTTTCTCCACCAGCACCATCCCTCCTCCTCCTCTTCCTCTTCCTCACCCATCCTCCCTCACCAAATCCTCCTCCCTCTCTGACTTCTTGGAAGGAGAGGTTATGGACGATGAGACTCTAAATGAGGAGGTTGCAGAGCTCCTCCACGACTCTGCACAGTGTGTTCTGCATGTCAGAGAAGCTGGAAGAGAGAGAGAGAGACGAATGTGTGCGTGTGTGTGTGTGGTGTTAGGGGCGGAGGGGTGAGTGTCGTCAGCTCCCATCGTCACTGTGACTCAGAGACAAAAAAGAGCAGAGAGCCCTCCCCTTCTCCTCCAGCATCCCTACCTTCTCTCCCTCAGCCTCATCACCACCAGTGAGTCGCTCTCCCTGCTGAGGCTCAGCATCCCTACAGCCTCCTCTCTCTCTCTCTCTCTCTCTCTCTCWCWCACACACACACACACACACACACACACASTCTCACACCTCTCAGTTGCTGCTGAGCCCATCCAACGACCCGAGGAAGGAGAAGAGAGAAACAGCCATCACAAAGAAAAGGAGGAAAGGAGAAGAACCAGGAGGATGAGGACCAGTGTGTTGTGCAGTGTGCCGGCACTTCCCTGCTGCCGTCCCACACACTCTGTGCGCCGTTTCACATCCCCCCTGCTTCTCCCCCTCCTCCTGCTCCTGAGCAGCAGCATCAGCAGCGGCAGCAGCATCGGGGCCATCCCTTCTCCGTTCCAGCTGGCCCCGGACACCCCGGCTCCAGCTGAGCCCACCCCGACCCAGTCCTCACCGCGCCCGGACCCCTGCGAAGGCCGCCCCTGCCTCAACCGGGGCTTGTGCCTGGCCCTGCCCTCTGCCGGCAGGCTGGAGGACACCTGGGAGTACACCTGCACCTGCAGCCAGGGATTCACGGGACGCAACTGTGAGGTAGGGACACATTCAGTGTGTGTGTGAGTGTTTCTTTAGGTTTCACACATCATGCTTTATTTTTGTATCATTTCACTTTTGAAATGAATTCGATCACTTTACTGTATCTTTCTATATCGCATTCTTCACATCAGAGTCTCCAGGGTCCGTTCTCCCTTCTGTCCTGTATTAAATATCACTCCTACCACTACCACCACCTTTCTGCTGAATCCTCTGAGAATCCACCTGATGTGTGTGATAAACCTGCATCACCGGAGTGTTTTCATTTGTATGCGTGTCGTACAGTAGGTGACGGTATGTGAGAGGCGTTCTGGCTCCTCTGCTGCTCGCGGATGTTTTTTTTCTCAGGAGCATGTGCTGCGTTGCTGTGGCAACAGGAGGAAAGGAGTGAGGTGCGAGTGTGTGTAGGAGAGATCATTGTGTGTGTGTGTGTGTGTGTGTGTCAGGAGTGAGATGTATACAATAACAAAGATGTCCACACAGACAGAGGTGACACAATGACACTAGACATTATGGACAGGACAGTAACACACAAAGTAACACAAAAGCACATTGGACAATTTTAGTTTTGCTTCTCTCCATAAACTAAAAGTGGTGCAAAGTAACAGCCGGTCGTGTAAGATGTTGTGATCTAATTTGTGCTGTAAGGTAAAAAAAAAAATGTTGTGCTCAATAAATGTATTTGCATGTTTACCATTATCTATATTAGTGTGTGATAATGACCTCGCTCTTGTAGTTTTACTCCCTCAAACAAACTTACTTTGTGCTCTTTGCACTCACATTTTGTCTATTTCTTTTATAAAATCCATAAATATGTCTAAATAAAAACCTTGGGGTGGGTCTGAGTAGCACTTGATGATCCCTTAGAAGATCCCTCAGAAATGATTTGCATTAGAAATGACAGCAAGTTCTGATAAGTCTAATACGGATAAACCAGTGTCACACATTCTTTTACACGTTCTCTGAAGTTGACCTAAACAACTTTGTTCCTCCTCCTGCTGTGGTTTTACATCTCTGCCAATTCAATGACATTTAAAGTCCTGAAACAGCCTCAATTTGTCCTATTTTTTGCAAAATCCAGCTCAACTGCACTGCATGAAATTCATCTGAGCTTTACAACAAACAGACTGTGGCTGAGCTTTAGCAGCTATAGGCTCAATAAGCAGCCGGGCCTGTGAGTCATGCTGGGGTGAAAGTGAGCATGTGCTCGCAGCAGCAGAGAGGATAAATGAGTCAACTGCATTATCGCTGAGGGAAAAAGAAAAGAGGACTGGGTAAACTAGAACAACCAACAGGTGGCAGCCATACACCCTTCTTTTCAGTTATATGTGCCTTTCGTGTGTGTGCATGTGGAAGGAATGTACAGATGCACATGCTGCTGGTGTAGAGGCAGGACTGAAGCTGTTCAGTGCAGCTTTTAGCCTAGGACCTGATCTCCTGATCTCCTTGTCTGTCCTGGTTTCATGTCTCAGAATAGAAAGCAGCTGCAGTTTGTTACCTCACTGTGCTCTGCTCCACACAAACCTCACAGGACGACAGCATCACGCAGCCTGAACTGAGGCCGTACTACACATTCCCAGGGGGAGAGCTTTCAGTCGCATCTTTCACGTCACTCATCTCGTGAAAAGCTCTCAGTCCTCTTCTGGCTCAAAATTCAGAGATGACAACATCAACCTCATCTCAATCCATCCCTAAGAGGCAAAGCTCAGCTTCTCTCGGCCGGACCCAAGGGGAATTGTTGATTTTTTTTCTTGCTCCCCCGTCACTTCCCTCCCACTGGTTGTTTCTTCTCCGTGGAAACTGGAGCAGCGCTGAATGGAGATTCGATAAATGACCTGATTGGCTGAGCGTGGTGCTTGTTTGCATCCTCTGACCTCTGCATGTGGTAAAACAGTACTGATGAGAGAGGGGATGAGATTGAAGAAAGAGATAGAAGGAAAGGAAAAGGAGGATGATAATGAGTTAGGGGGAAACAAGAAAAATGGATTGAAGTCAGCATGTGGGGCATCATATCATTGAGTTTTCACTTGTCATTGTCTACATCCATACTACTATATTTCATTTGAAATTTGCAACTCTAAAACTACAGAGTGGTGTGGACACCAGACGTATCCGTAGCAGAGTTGATGCATTTTCAGATGGAAACATAATAGAATGGGTGCAGCCATAGTGTCTCTCCCCAGAGAGTTCACAGACTGGTGCTAGTCGTCCTTTGACATCAATGACTTAAGAGATGAGTATAGATTTTGGGAAGAAGAATCCCACAGTCGTCTCTCCTGTCCTCATTTAGGATCAGGCTGTAGTATAAATATCTTGTCACTGTCACTGATGATGACCTGAGCTTTGAGCCTCATGTTGATGCTGTATAATGTAAGAAAAAGTACTTTTTTATAAGCTTAGTAGTTGTAATGTCAGTAGTACTTTATGAATACGTTGTATTCTTGTTTTTTGAATTTGTTGTTAATTTCTCTTTTATCCGATGGTAAGGATCACTCGCTCAAATACAAGAATCAGCTGCAGGGTTGTGTAAACGTGTGCAGTAACATTGACCTTCCTTACTTGTACAAGGTCAAGATTTAAAAAATTGTAGCCACCCATTCCATAGTGAGATTCTGTTGCTTCTGTCTGGCCAACAGATTTAAAAAGTCACTTATCCCTGCTGCCAAATTTGACCCTATGTGCTGGCTGCACAATCAATTGCCCCTCCAGGGTTGTTGAGATACCTTGAAATAAAAGAGAAAGAGCATGAGAAAAGGGGAAGAGGAGAGCGGGTGAGAGGAAATCATGAATCTTTTCTTAAAGAGAGTAGTCTTGGTTTTGGAGCTTAGCAACGTCATTATCGAATGTCACCCTCCTTTCTCCCTCTCTACACTTTTATCTCAAATTCTCTGTCAAACCTGGGCGGATAAGAGTATGTTTTTTTTCTTTGTCTTTTTTCAAGAGCATCGTCTTTCAGTCAGAGAGCGGGACTTATCAATATCAGATTTTGTAATGCCTTCACTCCGATATTTTGTTGCTTGCTCTCAGATTTCTTGTGCTCCAGCTTCAGCTCTTCTCCTCGTGCTCATGCTGCTTCTCTACACACATGAAACATGTGATCTAGAATATTTGTTTCTATGTTTGAATTCTTTTGTGCAACAGGTCTGTGAAAGTTACCAGCAGGATGCCAGTTGTAGTGATGGCAACACTGTCGTTCACTGTATTTCTTTGAGTATCTCGTACAGGCAGTTACTTTAACCTGGTTCATGCACTCCTGCTGTCCACTGCAGTTTTTGGAAGATTGTTATGTTATTATATTTTGCAACATTTTGAAATAATGTTTTGTGGTTTTATTCCCATGGCTCTGTTTTTGTTTTGTAGTTCTATACTGTAGGTATCAAATAAGCTCTAATGCAAACCACAGCTTCAGGCACCAGTGGGAACAATCCCACTCTACTTGTTAAACTAACTGAGATTTCATATCATCCTGCACCTTTTGAGGAAGGCTGCGGGCGAGACGTCCTGCTGGAAATCACTGCCACTCGTCTTTCTCTGAGTTATTGGCTTCTCAGCTTCGAGCTTATTCATTATTGAAAGGTTGAATGGCCTGTTGTGCACCCTGATGGATTAGGTAACTTGCTACACACACACACACACACACACACACAAACACACACACATTCACACACACAAACGGACAATAGGGCCGTGGCAGCGCAAAACAGCCATTTGTCAAGAAGCAGGTCCAGGAAGCTCTTGCAGGGGTGCTCAGCCATTCAGTGATATGAAGGCAGTGGATCATATGTATTTGCAGAGTGAAATTAGGTTTACAGGCTCAGCATCAGGAACGCAGAGTGGACTCTTTTTATTTGGAGACAGGACGTGGGACTGAAGATGATGAAAGAGGTGATATAGCCAAGAAGCACAGAAGTAATTCATCTTTTACTGCAGCAGACTGTTCTTAATAAGCTCACACAGAGGCAGTCAGAACTGTGATGGACGGGATGTTTTCTGATCTTGTTTTTAATACAAATCTCTGCCAAGAGTTTAGCTCTTCGTCCTCTCAACACCTAAGTCACTGCTCTGAGTTTCCCTCTCAGGCTTTGTACTGATGTTCTCCTGTCACTCAGTGTAAGAACATAATAAAGGAATCATTTGATATTTTGGGAAAAACACTTAGATGAGAAGATTATTCCCTCTTTCATCTCTGCGAAGGACGAAGCAATAGCAACTCCTTGGCTTCGATTAGCATAAAGATGGGAAACCATAGACCGTATATAAAGGTGGACTAATGGCAGCTACCCAAAAGCCAGATCATCTCAAACACCCCCTGGTGACTGGCTGCAGTGTAGACCATAAACCCCACCATGTTAGTGGATGGGACACGATAAAAAAGTCTAACAACATATATATTTAGCATATGTATTAGTGGGACCTTGATACCACGGCTCCACACCTGCGCTGACCCTAGCTCCAAATGATGTCATCATTATGGTGGCCCCCGTATCAGGGATATTTTGGCTTCATTTTTGCACAGTTGGAGGAAGTGGAGGTGCCGTGTCCATCTTTATTTTCAGTCTATACTGAAAACTGGTGGAAATGGCAAACCTGGCAGCTCTGATGGTTTCACTGACAGCATCACTGAGACAAAACTTAACACACAGGATATCATTTCTTAAGGCTGAGTCTGTCACCGAGCCAGGAGCTCTTTCTGCTACTAGTCTTGATGCTAAGCTAAAGTACCCAGCTGCTGGCTTCATATTCACTGTGCAGACATGATGGTGTTACTTATATTGATTATATGCATTAATATTTCTAATGTTGCATTGGATCCAAATTTAAACCTAGAGGAAACTGGATAAAGCAGCAGCATGTTGACATACGAAGCACTGTTCTCTTTAATCTTGATGATTTGGTTAGAAACATGTCAAATATCTCAAACTCTGCAGATTTATTGTTTTCAGTTGGCAGCAGAACAATTCGACATTGAGATGTGAAGGCAGCGGTAAACTTTCAATAGA